TGTTCAGAAATAACTGACAAAACTGACAAACTATTCCTGAGTAATTTTTCTTCTATCTTGTTTTCAGTTGTTCTGATTCTTGCAGATCAGAAAAATTCATGTTCAGAAATAGCTGATAAATTAGTCAGACAAATTAGGACTAGCAACTTTCTGTGCAGACTTTACAGCAGTTCTTAAATGTGCATATGGAATTTAAATGGAATACTTCAGAGCAACTAATGTCCTATTCTACCAAAATATGTTCTTGTTTCCCAGCAGGAAATGAAATAGCGGTATCCTCTAATATTTGTATTTTAGAATACAATGACATTTGGAGAAAAATTATGAGGTATTTTTAGTGATAAATAATGCAGGGATCTAACAATCCTGCAAAATATTGTGAACTATTTTTTCCTGCAAAATAGTGAAAATATTTAAGTTAAAAGATTTACGGAGCTCTCAAATCAGAAGTTTACAGGACTTGGGTGATTTCGGAGTGAGACAAAAGAACTCCTCTCGTTCCCTGGAGGGCAATGATGAGTTAGGGACAGCGTGTTCTCACCTGAACACAGCCAGCCAGCATCTCATAGAGGATGTGAGCTCGTTTCTTCATCACCCGGACATCCACGGGGGTGGAGTCTGCGCACTGCCCGTTCTGGATGGGATTGATGAACCGGTTCCGGAACTCCTTAATGGAGCCCAGCAGGTTCTCCTTGATGAAGTTCACCATGCAGTGATCTAGGAGAAACAGGCACACTGAGTGGCTCCAAATGGAAAACACAGCGTTGGGATTCATGCAGACAGAAAAGAAATGTGCCACAGCTAAATACAGATCTCAGTGAATCTTAGAAATTTAGCAGGCAGCCGCACTGCTTCAAATCCTTTTCTTCCAATCAAACTAAATATATCTGTCACAGACATATTTTATGAAAAATCCTTTCCTCAGGATTTTTTCTCCTGAGAGGCCTCAGAAATGAAATGTAAACAATGGTTATCTGCTGCTGTGGAATGCAACAGGTGCATCTGTGATTGGCTCATGTGGTTGTTTCTAATTAATGGCCAATCACAGTGAGCTGGCTCAGACTCTCTGGTCAGTCACAAGATTTTATTATCATTCTTTTCCTTTCCTTGTTAGCCTTCTGATGAAATCCTTTCTTCTATTATTTTAGTATGGTTTTAATATATCATTTTAATATAATATATATAATAAAATAATAAATCAGCCTTCTCAAACATGGAGTCAACATTCTCATCTCTTCCCTCATCCTGAGACCCCTGCAAACACTACCACATACATCTCCTATGGCTGACAGTGCACTGAAGGAAATAAAAGACAACTACTCACATTCTATAAGATTATTCTGCAGTGGTGTTCCTGTCAGAATTATTCTTCTCCTAGATTTAATAGAATTCATTGCCTTGGAGACAGCAGATGCTTCATTTTTCAGTATGTGTCCTTCATCACACACCACAAAATCAGGACCTGGAAAGAAACAATATTAAATCTCTCCACAATATTTCACTGCCACAAAGAACCTGACAGTCCAAAGTATCCAAAATTTGCTCTACACCAATGTACTTTGGGGTTTTTTAAACTTTTTTGTGTGTTATATGGTGAGATTTTTTAGCACTGATTGGGATCTCACTCAGCCTTGGCACAAGCATTCAGAGGAGCCACTCTGGTAAAATCAAGGCTGTTGCTTGTAAAGTCTTCATGGCAAGGATTAAACTCAGCTTTGCAGCATATTCCTGATAAAATGGTCTATTCCTGCTGCTGGGTGTGCATGGCTGCACCTCCATCCATCCTGTCAAAACTCAGTGAAACTTCCTTCTCTCCAGCTTTAGGCTGCCATCTACTGACACTTGGGCAATCCCAAAACACCCCAAAATCAGGTCACCTGAAATTTTTCATTAAGGCAAGAATAACACCAGGGGGACAGAGTGCAATCAGAAGTCTTGGATAATATAAAACACAACCAGATTTGATCTGAATTACAGACAAGTGAATTGCCACCTTGCAGCTGAAAGTCACCTCAGGAATGTCCTCAGCTTTCTTCCAAGAGATAAAATATCAGTCTGGTTTAAGTGAGCTGCACAAGGAATGTCAAAACCACAACACATCCCCACAGCATGCAAAGCAACTCTAATAATAAGATAAATAATACCCAACTTGGCAGAACAGACTTACTCTTAATTGTTTTCAGACTTAGCACAATTTCTGGAATTTCTTTCCTTGAAATGAAGTAAAAGATATTCTAGGATCCAAGTAGTAACTCAGAGTAAATGTTTTACCAGCTCTAAGCCTGACCTCAGTTCCAGCACTCTCAGCTCATGACAATTTGCTGCACCTTGGAGAAAAGCCACCAGTTGGGTTCAACAATTCAGTACTAAAAAGGCCAATATTTGAGGAGCAATGTAGGATTTGTCAGCAAGGACAGTTTAATCTTTTATAATTTACTGAGAATGTTTTGTCTCAGACTAAATTCAAACTGCCTTCTAAAGAATAAAATTAATTCTAGGGCAGTGATCAACAGCAGAGAATTGATTACACCTCTGACCACACACACCAGGGCCAGTCACCTTAATCATGCCATTTTAAGGGGATTTAAAAGTGATTTGAATCTTACATGTGAAGAGAAAGGAATCAAGAAGATATTTCTTTCCAAGCAAAAAACCCAAACAAAACAAACCCCAAACTTTTAAAACAAGTCTAGAAGACAATTATGAAAATCCACATATGAATTCCAAATGCACTCAGGCTTGTTCAAGCCAATGTATTTCTGAATTTCCCACCTGCCACAGAAACATTTCCCCATTTTATTTCATGACTTTTGTACCTTCCCAGTTTTGACAGAATGAAAACCACTGAGTGACTACACACAAAGCCTTCCTTTAATTGTAAGTAACCATCTCTAGCAGGGACAGATCCTTTCTCTAGTCCTCACTTCATTAAAAACTGTGATTCATTCACATGAAGGTAAAGAAATTAAGTTAAAAAACCACCTCAAAACCTGCTGTTCAGAGTAAGTGAATGACAGTAAAATGTGAAAAAGCCCAAACTCAGTACAATTATTCATGGTTTGTTTGGCAGCAGTGCAGCACTGATATCTTGAACTAACATCTTGGCTACAGTTCAGCAGCAGAGATTTCCATCCATTTGTGGGGTTTTTCCCTTGTTCTTCCAAAACACAAACGCAAATCATTATGGACAGAACATTCCTCAAAATGTGCTAAAGGAATGTAAAGCTTAAAGAGACCTCAGGGGATCATTTAGATCATTTTCTCCATCTGAGATTAGGGGCATGAGAAAGGGGCAGAGCTGACAGAAGTGGGAAACTCCACAGCCCCTCTCCTGCTGAAACACTGGGCAGTAACACCCAATTTATTTATTCACCCAATTTGCTACAAATCTGAGTGAATTCTGCCCTTTGCTTTCTCCTGGTCATGTCAAAACCAACTGATAACACTCCTTTCATTAACCAGCTCTTAAATGGTGGAAAATTTTAGTTTTTTTTTTTTTCTAGGCTTAAAATCCCTACTCATGCAATCCTTCCTCAAAGTCTTCATCTTCCCACCCTTCTTACTGTACCTGCACAGGTTAATATATTGAAATACATGAAAGATTGATATATATATATATATATAGATATACACAGTTCTCCTGTTCCTCTGAAGTCTACAAGAACTTTATACAGCTGCCAATTAAAGAGAAGTCTCCAAGTTAACCAGTATCAGAATTTTTGTTAGTAGCAACAAAAAATGAAGTGATTTTAGTTCTTCAAGCAGAGCACAGCAGTGACCAATAACCAACAGCCCTTCAGCAGTGGCACAAGGCAGCCTGGAAACCCTGTGTGTGTATAAAATCCTGCCATTCTTCCACACAGCTGAGCTGGTTAATTAATGAACTCACTTCTCCACCCATAAACTTTGGCTAAAGCTTCCCCCTCTGCTCCCCTTGACAGTGCAACACAAGCTTCTCCCACATAGTGTCCTACCCAGCAGCATTCACCAGACACATCTCATTAAATTAGCACTGAAACCCCAAATTTGCAGGTTTTTGAATGGGAAATGCTCCCAGAGGCCAAGGTTTCCCTATTTCCAATCCCAGCAGGAGCCAGCACATGGTTTTCTCCTTCAATGTCCATGCTGACCCACCAGGAGAGCAAGAAACAAAGGAGAATCTTGCAATGCACACTCAGCCAATCCAAACGACTCCAAAAATTAATGGGTAACAACACACTGACACTTCTGTCCTGCAATTAAAATAGAGAAAGGGATGAGGCAACATGAAATGCCCTCAAGTTGTGCCAGGAGAGGTTCAGGCTGGATATTAGGAAAATTTCTTCCCTGTAAGAGTGGTTAAGCACAGAAGGAACTGCCCAAGGAGGTGGTGGAGTCAAAAATGAGTAGATATGGAAGATGAGGGCACAGTTTAGTGGGCATGGTGACCCTGTGTCACAGAGAAAAAATGTGGGCCTTTGTTGGGGACGAGCCATTTGTCGGTGAGGGGAGACTCAGACACTCAATATGAGTGATAAGCAAATTCCGTTTATTGAAGAGAGCATCAGACACTTATACAGCAAATAATAAGCTTATGAATATTCTGTAAGCCAAGCAATCTATTGGTTAAACTATGCCATGAACTCTTCCTCATTCCTTAGGGGTTCCATCTCTCTTTTCTCATGTCTCTTTCACTGTTTGTTATCCTACCACAGCTAGGCCCAAGGACACTGCTATCTGTGCAGGTGCAGGACTTGGAATTAGCCATGGTTTTGTACTTTTCCAGTCCTTAGCAGTTAAATTCCCAACAACCCTGCACTCCACCCTGGAGGGCTCTGCCAACCTTGAAGTTTCCATGATTCTACAAAAATAATTAGGGAGTTATTTCAAGGTTGGCTTTCCCCATGGTCTGATTGCACTCTCTCAACCAGTCCTAGAAGAGAACAGAGCAGGAGGCTCCGTGTTCATCTGGAATTATCCAGAATCTCTGAGGGTCAATTCCAAACTCAATTAAAGTGCACAAGGCCATGAGCTGAGCGCAGACCCTGCCCTGGACAGGGCCTGAGGAGCTCTGGAGGGAGAACAGAACACAGAGGGTGTAAAACCCAAGGGCTGGGACAGGGAAGGCCACACCAGTCACTGTCTGCCCCTAACATCCCACAGTCCAGGATTTCTGGGCTTACACAAACACAAATCCATGAAGGGACAATGTTACTGCAAACACACACGGCAACAACCCCTATGTTTGTCCTCCCTTGCAATTCCCACCAGGAAAAAAACCCCACAAAAATCAGTTATTGCATAACATTTTATTTCATCTTGCTCTGTACCAGAACAAGACCAGAACATCTTGTTCTGTACCAGATCAATACCCACTAAATACAGAATTACTGTCCTGT